CGTGCGTTATTTTTGCAATACAAAATTTAATTTGTTTATATACACATTATTTTTTTTTTAGATTATTTGTTTAAAAGACTATACACTTCATGAATTTGTTATTTAATATTGTTTGTTATTAATACTAGCAATGAAAATTTAATTAATTTAAACAGTGTTCGAATGGCTCAAAGCACGAAAAGTGCTCAAAATTGTGTGTGTTTACACTTCTGGCAAGTGAAAAGCTCTTCATTTAAGAATACTCATTTTTAGTGGAGTAGCGGCCACAACTAAAGACGGACGTGTTGGCATTTTCAATCGCGTAAACGGTCCCAAATACATTTTGTTTTGCCTTGAAATTGGGTGAAAAAATTATATATGTATATATGTATACAGTTAATGATTGTTTAAGCCAAGAAAACTTTGTTTAAGTGAAAAAGAAATAATTATTATTAAATACCATTCGAAACAAAATTTTGTGTTACATGTACTGCGAAAAATATTAAAAAGAAAATTCATGTTGAATTGTTAAACAATTTGGTAAATAGATTGCTACTTACAATATAGTAATGTAGATCTAATGGTAATGGTTATATATGTACATATAGCTAATATGTATATATATGGCATTTATAAAATTAATAAAATTAAGTGTTTATAGTATTTATACATAAGGAAAAAATACAGAAAAAATTATTTTTATATATTTTTTTAAACTATTATAGTAACTATTAATTTTACTCTTTTTTTTGTTGTAACCGAAATGATTTACAGCTTATTATATCGTTATAATAACAATAAATTTTTGTTATTATTTATATAAATTTTCGTTTAGATAAATATTAAAATTCCCAAAGCAAAACCAATCAATAGCAGCAAATTAATAATTTTCCAGCAAAACGTTGTACAAGAAAAAAAAAATTTTTTTTTTTATGTACACAAAGCAAATAAAGTTACCCCAAAACGCAGCAGAAAAACCGTTTCACCCCCGTCTATAAATGAAGTTAGGGAAGGCGCAGCAGTGCCTAAAGAGCTGCGTTAGTGTGTACTGCGACGCTTACTCCGTTTACGTTAAAATAATACGAAACGGATATAATTTATTTACGTGCTTTGTTGTAATTGTTGTAGTTGTAGTTGTAGTTATTATTTGAGCAGTCTTCGTTGTCAATGAGTGTGCTTTGACATGCGGTTACAGTGAAATAAGCAATAAAATTAGTGTGTGCGTTTTTGTTTTTTTTTTTCTACCATTTTTGTTTGTTTTTTGTGTTCCTTTACTCATCTTTATTGAAGCTAACAAAAATTGGCGGCTTGGAACAATTTTGTTAATTACACCATTATCGTGTGGTGTGTGGGGCCATCATATCTTAATTGAATTTATGTATGTATGTATGTACGTGCACTGCAAGTGTGCTCATAAAATAATCATAAGCAGCGCTACTGGCAGCGGCATTTACATTCACATTATGTGTGGCTTGTAAGCAATGTGGAAACAAAGGCCTTTGTTAAAGACTCTTCAGGTGCAAATATTGTTGTGTATGTTCTAAGGAATTATTTAAGTTAAATAAATTATATGAAAATGTATGTTTGTAAATTGAAATTAAATTAAATTTAACTTTAAGCATTTGAATGCAAGTAATACTAAAAACATTTGCTTCTATTCCCTATTAAAAGAAGTTACTCATACATTATAAACACAACATAAAACTAATGAGTGCACTTGTTTTTTTATCGGCTACTAAATGGCGACTTAAGTGCGTGCCTAAGTTCTCTTATGTTTTCCTAAATATCTCTAAGCATCAATTTGATTTGCTCGTAATTATTTTTCTTTCTATTTTTATTATTTAACAGTTTTTTTCTTCTGCTTCTGTTATTTTTTTTTGGTAATTGTTCTTTATCTATTGTTGTTGTTATTTGAAGTCTTTTCGCATTTCGCAGTGCATTTTATTTTTAATTAAAAATTTATAGGAAATTGCTTCTCCCTTCATATGTGTTCTGCTTCTATGCAAGGTCAGAGTGTGAAAATTTCTCGCATCATTATTAATTGATACTTCCACACACACATATATACCAATATACACCTAAACGCATCGAAATTCATTCGAGTAAATGACATATTTACATGTAGAAATATTTTTGTTTCATTTTCGTTTTGTTTATTTTCTTTGGTGTTGTTTTTTTTTCTTCTTCATTTTAAATTTTACTGTAATTTTCCATAGCTATTTCTAGTGAGTTTTGCTGTGAACTTCGAGCGTGTATGTGTCTAGTGGGAAAAGAGTGAATTGTAATTTGTATAACCTGTGGACGGCTGCTCTTGATTTCTTTACAAAACAATCAGCCTTTTCAATGCCAATTGTTCAATAATATTGATCAGTAATGTTTGCTTCCATTATCCCTAATTAATAATTCTTTATTCGCATATTATTCATAGATCATTCTTATACACATTTAATAGAAGGTTGATAAAAGTATTAATAGATTTGTTAAATAGGGAATTGTTATAACTTAGAATAAATTATAAATCCGAAAACTACAAGAAATTGCGACATAGATATTCAACTTAAGTCATAAAATTGAATATATTAAGTATATCAGGCTAAATTAGAGTTATTAATCGTGAAGTTCATATAAATTTTAAAAATTTACTTTAAAATTATAATATTCTTTAACAAATTAATTGAGGAAATGTATATTGTCACTAAAATCATTACTTAAAATTAATATAAATTTTTTACAGGCGTCAGAAGAGGCGGGTAAATTCAACTACGAAGTTATATATGCCTAATTGAGATAATCACGTCTGCAATATTAGTTACAAATTTTTTAATACAGTAAACATTCTTATTTCATCAAGATAAATATGTTATAGTTTTTTAAAAAAAATTTGGTGACTTATTTTTTATTATATATTTCAATGAGAGTTTTTGTAAAGTAGTGAATCGTAGCAACAAAATTTTATTTTTTTTAATCAACTGAATTTTTATCTAACCATACAGTTGTTTTGAATATTGACAAATACCCATTATTAGTGGTTTTAGAATTATTTCTTGTACTTAAATATTTCTAAATAATTTTTTGAGGGAGTAAGTACCAAAGGTTGACACCCTACCCTGCCAAATTTGAAGCTCAGAGTCAGCGTTCATTACCCAATTGACCCGCAACCGTACTTAACTTGTATGTTCTTTCTAGAGTTTTCTTGAAATGCTGTGAAAGTTTTTTTTAATAAATTTAGTTGTTGTATTTTATTAGAAAAATATCATAAATTAACTGCAAAATAATTGAATGAATTAATTATATTTTATTTTTTTATTATTACCGCTGTATGGTCAGTCAAAAATTCAATTAATCAAAATAATATAAAAAGAATATTTGTTTTTGTAGCTCGCTACTTTTGGAAACCTCTCTACAAAACACTTTAGTGTTGGTAAATAATGTAGAGTAATTGAAAATAATTTCAATAAAGTGTAGTTGCAACAAACATATTGTTCATGTTGATAATCAAATGTACTGATGTAAGATAACATAGTTATTTTTTACTATATTGTGAAAATTTTTCATCGTATCTCAAATCCTATCACATTTACACTATTTCCGAATTTACCCATTTTATATACAAACGTGTGATGTATATATATTAAAATAATAATGTCACCTTTAACTGTTTTAAATAACATGCTTTATACCTATATTAGTGAAAATAGATATAAAAGTAGTGAATAAAAGCAGCACATATGTTGAACTTAATAGCAGTTTTATAAGTTCATCTGCTCATCATATGGAAATATACTATGCAGGACTTTTTATTAAATGTTGAATACTTACAAAAGGTTTAATTCAATTTTTTTTTTATGTCAAGTTTTAAGATTAATCCCAACTATTAATTTTTTTTTTATTTTTCTATTTTTTTATAAGTGTTTAAAATTATTTGAATTTAAAGCAGTGCATATCATATATATAAAGTATGTATTACATATAATTAAGTTGTGTAATTGGTTTTAAAAAGAAGATGTTTATTGGAAAACACATTAAATATTTACTAATTCTCGTAGCTAATACGATTTGTGAACCAAAAATAATGCAACTATTAAGAAATATATTATATATATTTTTATATTGTATTTAAAAATAACTGAAAACTGATAATTGCATCGTATGCATTAAAAACTATATAAATACTTTTAATATATAAAACATTTAATAATTTGTTGCCTTAGTGCTTAACCAATGAGTATTAATATATTTACGAAGCTCAAATTTGTGCATTACAACAATAATAATAGCAGTAGTAAGGACAGTTTAATATATAAATAAAATATTATATAAAAAAGGTTTAATATATAAGATATATATATATACTTCAATCAATATCTGTGACAATATTGATAATATCGTGTTTATTCTACAAAGAAATTAATTAAAAGCTACCTG